GTAACTCGTGGCCTCAAGATAGTAACTCGTGGCCACAAGATAGTAACTCGTGGCCTCAAGATAGTAACTCGTGGCCACAAGATAGTAACTCGTGGCCTCAAGATAGTAACTCGTGGCCACAAGATAGTAACTCGTGGCCACAAGATAGTAACTCGTGGCCTCAAGATAGTAACTCGTGGCCTCAAGATAGTAACTCGTGGCCTCAAGATAGTAACTCGTGGCCACAAGATAGTAACTCGTGGCCTCAAGATAGTAACTCGTGGCCACAAGATAGTAACTCGTGGCCTCAAGATAGTAACTCGTGGCCACAAGATAGTAACTCGTGGCCTCAAGATAGTAACTCGTGGCCTCAAGATAGTAACTCGTGGCCTCAAGATAGTAACTCGTGGCCACAAGATAGTAACTCGTGGCCACAAGATAGTAACTCGTGGCCTCAAGATAGTAACTCGTGGCCTCAAGATAGTAACTCGTGGCCTCAAGATAGTAACTCGTGGCCTCAAGATAGTAACTCGTGGCCACAAGATAGTAACTCGTGGCCTCAAGATAGTAACTCGTGGCCACAAGATAGTAACTCGTGGCCTCAAGATAGTAACTCGTGGCCTCAAGATAGTAACTCGTGGCCTCAAGATAGTAACTCGTGGCCACAAGATAGTAACTCGTGGCCTCAAGATAGTAACTCGTGGCCACAAGATAGTAACTCGTGGCCTCAAGATAGTAACTCGTGGCCACAAGATAGTAACTCGTGGCCTCAAGATAGTAACTCGTGGCCACAAGATAGTAACTCGTGGCCTCAAGATAGTAACTCGTGGCCACAAGATAGTAACTCGTGGCCTCAAGATAGTAACTCGTGGCCTCAAGATAGTAACTCGTGGCCTCAAGATAGTAACTCGTGGCCACAAGATAGTAACTCGTGGCCTCAAGATAGTAACTCGTGGCCACAAGATAGTAACTCGTGGCCTCAAGATAGTAACTCGTGGCCACAAGATAGTAACTCGTGGCCTCAAGATAGTAACTCGTGGCCTCAAGATAGTAACTCGTGGCCTCAAGATAGTAACTCGTGGCCACAAGATAGTAACTCGTGGCCTCAAGATAGTAACTCGTGGCCACAAGATAGTAACTCGTGGCCTCAAGATAGTAACTCGTGGCCACAAGATAGTAACTCGTGGCCTCAAGATAGTAACTCGTGGCCACAAGATAGTAACTCGTGGCCTCAAGATAGTAACTCGTGGCCACAAGATAGTAACTCGTGGCCTCAAGATAGTAACTCGTGGCCTCAAGATAGTAACTCGTGGCCTCAAGATAGTAACTCGTGGCCACAAGATAGTAACTCGTGGCCTCAAGATAGTAACTCGTGGCCTCAAGATAGTAACTCGTGGCCTCAAGATAGTAACTCGTGGCCTCAAGATAGTAACTCGTGGCCTCAAGATAGTAACTCGTGGCCACAAGATAGTAACTTGTGGCCTCAAGATAGTAACTCGTGGCCACAAGATAGTAACTCGTGGCCTCAAGATAGTAACTCGTGGCCACAAGATAGTAACTCGTGGCCTCAAGATAGTAACTCGTGGCCACAAGATAGTAACTCGTGGCCTCAAGATAGTAACTCGTGGCCACAAGATAGTAACTCGTGGCCTCAAGATAGTAACTCGTGGCCTCAAGATAGTAACTCGTGGCCTCAAGATAGTAACTCGTGGCCTCAAGATAGTAACTCGTGGCCTCAAGATAGTAACTCGTGGCCACAAGATAGTAACTCGTGGCCTCAAGATAGTAACTCGTGGCCTCAAGATAGTAACTCGTGGCCACAAGATAGTAACTCGTGGCCTCAAGATAGTAACTCGTGGCCACAAGATAGTAACTCGTGGCCTCAAGATAGTAACTCGTGGCCACAAGATAGTAACTCGTGGCCTCAAGATAGTAACTCGTGGCCTCAAGATAGTAACTCGTGGCCACAAGATAGTAACTCGTGGCCTCAAGATAGTAACTCGTGGCCTCAAGATAGTAACTCGTGGCCTCAAGATAGTAACTCGAGGCCACAAGATAGTTATAATTATTTTTTTTTACCAAAGTGGGACTAGAGGGGCTCCGTACATATTGACCCCGAAGACCAGAAGTGTAAATATTTTTTTTTTACATACCTTCAGAACAACTGAATCAAGCCCAGTTTTTTTGTGTGTCTATAGATAGATAATGTATGAAAAGTCACAAAATCTTATTGAGATGAAGGGAACCTTTTTGTTTATTAAGTAAAAGTCGATTGGGGTCGTATAGACCCCATGACCCGATTGAGGGCAACTATAAACACACACACAACATTTGATAAAACACAAACTTTTATGGTAGATGCGATAACACACGATTAATCGATTTGACAGCCCTACTATACGCGCTACTAAAAAGCTCATTTTTGGATTTGGGTTAATCTTATAGCACTAAAGTCAATGGGAAGTCCCAAATTACACAGATGCGGAAGTGCAGTATCACATGTGTGCCAGCAGTTTCTTACCCTTCTTGGTTGTCCTCTTCATCCAGATTGGAAAGTAGCTGGGATCCGGCCAGCGAGAGGTCCAGGGCAGCGAGAGGAAGGTCCCTGTAGGCGAAGCTGACCAGCTGCACTGGAGCCATGCACTGGCCTTCATCCTCCACCTGCTGAGAGATCACCTCCAGATCCGGCACTGCCGCCTGCTGAGGGGGCCTGGGGACACATGGGGGACACTACTCTGTTGTCTTCTTACATTAACTGTCTTCAACCAGTTACCATAAAGAAAATGACCTGGATTACCACAAAGAATGAACAGACTAAATGAAACCTAACTATCATCACAGAAAGGGCACTGCAAAGTCAACATGAAAAAAAAACTGTTACCCTTTACATTCTTAATACAATTTTCTGGTCTTATTGTGAAATGCTTTATCAGTGCGATGACTCATAATCTTTCACTGAAATGTTCAGACAGTCCCCTGACCTTTTAACCAACAACAGAAACTATTTGTTCACTTAGAAATATTTCTGATCAATGCATTGGAAAGTTACTCATTTTAACGAATCGGTTCATTTAGATGTTTTATGTAAATCAAGCAGTGTACTTTTGTGAACTGCTTACATGGACCATCCCAAAGAACTGGATGTCGAAGTCCTGAATTTCTGGCAGCAAAATATTTGGTGAAACCATAGCTGTTTGCACTGGAAACTTACACTAATTTAGTTAGTTAAATGGTTTGTGTAAATCAAGCAGTGGGCTCCTTTCACATGGGCTCTCCGAAAGAATTGATTCACTAAAATGAGTCACTGATTCAGCAGAAGTCCTGAATTTGTGGTAGCAAAATATTTCGTTATCAGCAGTTGTTTGCTCATTTTAGTTAATTGGTTTCTTCCGATGGTTCGTGTAAATCAAGCAGTGTACTTTTGTGAACTGCTTCCTTCACATGGACTGTCTGAAAGAACAGATTCACTAAAATGAGTAACTGATTCATTTGAGTCCATGTGTAAAAGTCCTGAGTTTCTGGTGACAAAATATTTGGTTAACCACAGTTGTTTACACTCATTTCAGTTAATTGGTTTGTTTAAATGGTAAATGTAAATCATGCAGTTTACTTTAGCGTACTGCTTCATTTCACATGGCTCGCCTGGAAGAATCGATTCACTAAAATGAGATTCATTACAGGCCCTGCATTTTTGGTAGTGAAATCTAGTTAAGCACAGCTATTTACACCGGAAATTTATACTTATTTGAGTAAATTAGTTTTTGATTAAGCGCAGTTGGTTGGTTCGCATCATGGTTCATGTGAACCGATTGATTTGCATGAATCTTCAGAACAAACTAAACGAGTCAATGATTCATTGAGGCCCTACATTAAAGTCCCTGTGAGGTATTTTACATGTTTTTTGTAGTATGACATTGTTGTTTATTACTACAAAACAAAATGTTTTTTTGCCAAATAAATATTGCTTTGAAAGCCTATAATGTTGATATTTACATTGTATTTTTGCTTGGAAAAATGTCGCAATATGGAAGCAAAATTAGTTGTTTCATGTTGACTTTAAACAGCAAATAATGGCAGCCCACAAAATAAGTAGTATACTGTATAAAAACCTAAAATAAGGGAATAATTAACTGTCTTAAGGCAAAGCGTACCAAAGAATAACACAAGGGGAACTACATACATGGCACAAATGAGAAGGAGAAAATAATAATAATCACAATTCAAAGGGGTTGATCAGAATACAGGAGAGGTCAGGGATGAGGAATGTGTTTTATCCTGACAATGCATGATGTATGAGACACAAACACAATGAACGACCAGCAACAGAAGAGGGAAGTGAATCACAGACGCCACAGAGACCCAGAATCCCATTATTGAGATGTATTCCCGCAGATTACTGACTGATGTGATTCTAAGACAGACGAGAAGCAGATTAAGGAATCTCAAAAAGGGCATGGCCACAAACAGAAGTGGAATATATGGAAATGCATACGAAACCTCAATGGCTACATAAGTAATGCATGAAAGAAGATTAAGTTGTGGCCAGCAGCGTCCCACGTGTCGAGATTGATTCCTAAACCCAGAATATTCATCATGGTCGGAGGATCATGCGTTGCGTTCTACAATAATGAGGTGTCGAGAGATTTCCAAAGCACAATATTGTGGCAAAACAACAAAGTCCCACAGTTGGATGTCATGGCTGGTTCTGCCCGGTTTTGTGTTTGATTTATTGGATTTAGTGTGCTGATTCATCTCACGTTTGCAGTTTGGGATTGCTGTTCTCAATCTCAGCGCAAACAAGGCAATGAATATATATATATATATATACTTCTGCAATGCTCACAGTTGCTTTTGATATCAAACTTTAGTGAGGTAATAGTTCACACAAATATGTTTTGATAAGCGTGAGGTTGAGTAAAAGACGACAAAATTTACTACTTTTAATTGCGGGCCAGAAAGGGAGATCCTTACAAAATAAACATCAATGTGATAATTGTGATCATAACGAATGCTCATAACTGTAATCGATACTCACGACCTTAAAGATGACTTAATCAAGGGCAGAAGAAAGGACAGAGACGAGAAGAAACCTGGGTTTTGGCTTCTGTCCCAGCCGTGCCGGATGAGCGGTGATAAATTATGCCAGTGCAAAGAAAAAAAAATATGCGGAGAACAAAAAAGGAAGCATGTAATAGTACAGATTCTTAGGAGAATAAAGCTGCGCCACTGTCAATAGAGAGGCTGCATGTATGTGTGGATTGCTATCATAAGACAGTGATATTATGCTGGGAAGCGTTTCTGTTACTGTTCCCCATCCCAATCTTTAAAACATTAATGGCTGTATGGACCCAAACGTACTGTAATTTCTCCAGAAAATCTTCTGCTTTTCTTTTATCTCTGTGTTTGTTGTGTTTTGAGCAAACAATGCATCAAACATGAATGAATGATGAATAATTGGGTGAATCTGACCAAATCCGTGGTATAATTGACAATTTATAATTTAACAAGAAAGCAATATGCAAAGATAATACTGACATTGTTTTTATGACACATTGCTGCACTGTAATGCAAAAAAAAAAATGAGTGCTGTCAAATCGATTAATCGCATCTAACAAACGTTTTTGTTTCTGTATGTATGTACTTTATTGTATGCATGTATATATCATGTAGATATACAACATGCTTACATTCATGCATACATATAGAAAGCAAGCAAGCAATAGATATACTATTATAGTTATTTATTAACATTTTGAAATAGATTTAAATAAATTACAATAAAAAAATACTAAACACTTAAATCACATTGTACCATTGTGAATAATTGCAAAATAAAAAAACTCAAAACTGAAATATCTGGACACATTACATTAATGGCAGGAAATGTGATTAATTGTAAAAAATAATGTCAAATTGTCAAAAATTGTTCCAAAAAAAGGTTCATTTTCTTTATATTTTATTTAATGGGGAATTTGCCCATTTGAACATCATTTTATAATAAATTACAGTAGCGTACATAGCTTCACAGACACCAAAATGCTCCATGACAGCAGCGCTTCGATCACACTTCTCCCCAAAATCTCTTTTCACACCCTTCATGCGGGCTGGCTGGTAAAGGACGGGCTCAGCATGCGGCGTCCCGTCCTCCCTGATGCTATCTGCGCGCTTGGCACTGCATCCCACCAATTGCTAACAGGACTCTAATCAGTCCTGACACACACAAACTGTTCAGGGCATCAAAATCACATTTGCAAATAACCATATGCAAAGCCGTAGCGCTGTCAGGTACTGATGAGTGTTCGCTATAGTGGCACGACGCCCGCATGAAGTTTCTGTTCGCCACACCGCAGGACGAGTAGTAGAGGACACAGACATAAGACCAAGTTTGGTGTACAAAATAGAGGGGGTTACTGGGGGAAATCAGATTTTGATATCGTCCTCTACAAACTGTGCTATTGAGTTCAGAGCCGTTGTAAAGAGTATATCTCCTCTGTGATTTGCTGTGTGTTTTAGTGTCTACCGACGCCCATCAAGGGACAGGTTATGATGACTTTAGTGCATCCCATGCTGAAACAGCATTTTATTGTCTTGTAAGGCCACATATTCTCATAACTCATCCAAACCTGGATCAAAGGAACTTGAGATAAAAGAGAAACCTTGCATAAGCCAGAGATATATTATTAATTTGCTATGTTAACTTTCTTTTCTCTCTCTAATCTTAATTTAATTTCTACATTTACTACTTCATATTTAAAATCAAAAGTTGTATGTGTTAATATTAGTTAAAGGGATACTCCACTTTTTTAGGAAATAGGCTCATTTTACCACTCCCCCAGAGTTAAACAGTTGAGTTTTACCGTTTTCGAATCCATTCAGGCGATTTTTTGATATTTAGAAGAATATCAGTAACCGGACAGTTTCTGGTCTCATTGACTTCCATAGTAGGAAAAAATATACTATGGAAGTCAATGAGACCAGAAACTGCCTGGTTACTTATATTTTTCTAAATATCAGAAAATCGGTTGAATTGATTCGAAAATGGTAAAACTCGACTGTTTAACTCTGGGGGAGTGGTAAAATGAGCCTATTTCCAAAAAAAGTGGAATAACCCTTTAACGCACTAACCATGATAAATTTATTTAAAAAATATATATTGCTTACGGGCTAGTTCATGTTAACCTAACTAAGGTTTTCAAATGAGGCCTTATTGTAAAGTGTTTCCGAAGTCATTTTCAACCAGAGTAATTATTGTTAGATTTTTTTTACACATTAGACCTGAATTGACAATCCATTACAGTATTACAAAGTAAATGTTTTTCATATTAAAATATTTTAATATATTAAATATTATGCATCAAATAATTTAACTGATATTAATCTCAATAGAAACATTTATAAAGTGTAAATACACTTAGCATTTGTTTTGTTGTTAATTGTTATAGTGGGTGTATTTAAAGTATAATGTTAATAAATATTAAAATTTGTTTAATCAATCATTATCAAAACTTTCTTCTATGATTACAATAACTATATACTGCATAGTTATAAAGTAAACCAAGCCTATTCATTAATTTAACACCGATTTGATTTTCTGCATGTCTGCATAGTCTCTTATTGTTATTGAGGTTCATATTTGCCGTCTGAGCGCATCTATGGTGGAGCGCATCGTGATGTTCAAGTCATTTACAGGAGATACTGCAGAAGATTGTAACCTCTCTGTGAAGCGCTTCTCTAGAGACTAACATTTCCACCTAAATCACTCATCAACCATTGCCAAGCCACTGTTATTGTTAGGTTTATGTCAAAAGTACAAAACTCTCAGGGAAAATATGTTCCCTCAAGCTTAGCATTTCTTTCACTTCACAAACACTAGTGAGGTATTTTTTTAGGGCTGTCAAACGATTAATCGCGATTAATCTCATCCAAAATAAAAGTTTATATTTACATAATATATGTGGGTGCACTGTGTAAAATACAGATTTTTAAGAAATATTTTCATGTATATACTGTATAAAGATTTATATATAATTTATATTATATATAAATATAAATATATTTTTTTCTTAAATGTACATGCATGTGTGTGTATTTACATACACAAAATAATTATACACAGTGCACCCCCATATATTATGTAAATATAAACTTTTATTTTGGATGCGATTAATCGTTTGACAACCCTAATTTTTTTAAATGCATATTTTGGGTAACCAGCCTTTATATACGACATATTCTAGCTATAAAGCTTGAAAACGCAGTAACCCATAAAAATGGT